AGGACGAGCTGTTTACTAGAAATATTTTATTGTCTTCAAAGCTGTGAAGAATTTAATGACTACATCATTATTTTGGTTGGTTTAGTAACTTGTTTGGTTTATTTTGCTTTGATTTGTGTCTGATGACAGAGGAGAAGGAACCCAAGCCTAACCTGCGGATAGTTCTGTTAGGAAGCAGAAATGTTGGGAAGACCTCGGTGGGGAACACCATCCTGGGCTTCAAGGAACAAGAAGATGGAAAACGAACAGCCAACCTGGTGGTTCGGTGTGGTTTTGTTCATGAAYCTGAAGTCAGCCTTGTTGACACTCCAGGTTGGTGGAAGGGCTTCACCACGTTTGACACTCCAGAAGCAATCAAAGAAGAAATAACACGCAGCATGTTTTCATGCCCCCCTGGACCCCACATCTTCCTGCTGGTAATAGATGCTGATGCATCCTTCAATGRCAAAAACCTAGAAGCAGTTACAACGCATGTGGAGCTTCTGGGAGAGGGTGTGTGGGAACACACTTTTCTAGTTTTTACCAAAGGAGACTGGCTGGGAACAAAACCCATAGAGGAGTACATTGAAGGCGAGGGGGAGGCCCTACAGACTCTAGCAGAACAATGTGGAAACAGATATCATGTCATTAATAACAAGAATGCAAAGGATAACACACAAGTCACTCAACTGTTGGAGAAAATAACTGAGACTGTAGCTGGAAATGGCTGGAGACATTTTGTTCCAGATCAGAAACTATTAACTGCCATTGAAGAGAGAAGAAAAAGAACYGAGGAGGCAGCGGTACTGAGGCAAGAACGGGTCAAAGCCAACAGGCAGTCTTCTAGAGGTTTGTCCCAGAATTATTTCATCTGTAGAGTATTCCATTAATAAGAAATGCTGCATTTGTCTTTATATTAAATTAACATTTTATTAAAGCTAGTCACTGAAGAAAAAACTACACGGTTCAGGAGAAACTTCCTGCTCAGTGGTGGGCACCAGCCCATTAAAGCGCAAATCCKCTAATTGCAGACGTAAATGTTTCATTTGCGCTTTAGCGGTCTTACTAATTTTTATAATTCATGAGCGGATTTGCACTTTCTAAAATTAAAACGCAGTACTGCTAATAAC